TGGAAGGGAAAATAGAATTTGGGTTCCCGATTATGAGCCACTCCGAACGGCGATAATGCAGCGGACACACGATAGCTACCTAGCAGGTCACCCGGGCAAAGATACAATGATTGGCATACTTTTAAGGCGATGGTTCTGGCCAAAGATGAGGGAATCGGTCCGTCGTTTTATACGGAATTGTGATGTCTGTGGTCGTACGACAGTATGGCGAGAGGCGAAGGCTGGGTTTCTTCGATCACTGCCAATTCCTGACCGAATAGGAAGCGAGCTGACAATTGATTTTATTACTGATATGCCACCTTCTCAAGATTGTACAAATATAATGGTTATAACAGATCGGCTATCTAAAGACGTTTTTCTATTTGGTACAAAGACAATGGAGGCTGCACCAAGCGCTAAAGTTTTTGTCGACCGATATTATCGTTACTTTGGCTTTCCACGTTATTTGACAAGTGATAGAGGCAGTGACTGGATGGGAACCTTTTGGCAAACTTTCTGCAAGCTAACAGGAATAACTCAACGCTTGACCACGGCGTACCATCCTCAGTCAAACGCAAGTGAAAGAGCAAATCAGGAATTGTACAAGTACCTGCGAGCGTTTACCTGCTACTCACAAGATAATTGGATGGAACTGTTGCCTGTAGCCCAACTGGCACTAAATTCAAGACCAAGTTCAGCGATTGGAGGACTAAGCCCATTCTTCTTACGGCACGGATACGATTTGGACCCTCTGGCAGAGCCTACGCCTATCTTAGAGAATGGTTCCCGACACCCGGGACGACTATCTGCTCAGGATTATGTTAAGAGGTTAAAGGACGCGCAAGACTATGCACAGGCAGCAATGGCTTCAGCTCAACAACGAAACGAGGGTAATGCAAATCGCTTCCGAAGACAACCAGATCAGTATAAAGTTGGCGACAAGGTTTGGTTGGATCTCCGAAACGTGAAAACACCACAGCTCTCCAAGAAGCTAGCCTGGATACATGCAAAGTACGATGTGACCGCGGTCCCAGATCCTTTGACTGTGGAGTTGAACGTTCCTGGAAACATCCACAACCGCTTTCATGTTGAATTGGTGAAGCGGGCGGGTGCGGATCCCTTTCCGAGTCAGCGGCGGGACGATGCACAAAATCCCGCTATCCTTGACGATCTGGGCGAGCAAGAATTTGGAGTGGACTCAATAATACGAGCGAGAACAGTGAGACGTGGCCGTGGTAGTTTCAGGCAAGCCCTAGTTAAGTGGACTGGCTGGGCAGAACCAACTTGGGAGCCCATTGAATACGTGGCAGACACCGAAGCTTTAAAAATATTTGAGCAGACCTATGGTCCCATAACTTCAAATGATGGCCCTTCGGAAATATACTCAGGTAGATACGTTGGCCAGGCCGAGCCTCATGTCCACAAAACGCGGAGGGAACGACGAAAAAAAAAAAGCATTAAATAAGAAAATTAAATAAAATATTTACTCATTGAGGAAGAGAAGGGGGATTGTAACGGCTGTTAAGCCTAATTATCCCTGTAGCCTACGCTAGCTAGCGCAGGCAATGAGATCAATGGTGTAATCCAGAATCTTCTTGGAAGTTGTCGAAGAATCCAAACAATTCTGGTCATGGAGGGAATCCTATGGAAGGAGGAGTATTCTGGATTATATATATTTGTAGTCACTAGCTGTTAGAATTCTCTCTCTAGAGAATTATAATTAATATACTGTACTTACAAGATCGCCCAAGCATTTTGTACTGAAACCGTGACAGTCGTAGCGTATTAATGCGAGCTGTTTTGGGTTGGGGTATTTCCTCGGGTGTTTGAAGGGCAGTCTCAAGCAGAACCACGATGTTTCTAGAAAGTATCAGTCCCGATACACTGTGTGAAGACGCTCACGCACCTCATTATCACACGTAGATATTCTCAGGAGGCATGTGTATATACAGTAGTTTTTCTCTGGACTAGGACAGACAGACTTTCACCAATAGACTTTACTTTACATTTTTCATTTGACCCTCAGTATCTAATAGGATGTTTCTCAAACTATTCTCAAAGTTCCGAAAGCTTGAAGAATACAACTCAGCCTGGATGGCCCAATGGGACTCACCTCCACTGGTCATCACTATCTCATCCTTGACCAAGACTTCAGCTCATAGGGAACAGTTGAGACTCATCCAGAATTTAGATCTTGATATGGCTATTGCTTACACAGATGGATCCCTCTCCAAAAGTAACACGAGTAGAATTGGCTTTGTAATTTACAAGCCATTTACTAGAGAGCTAACAAGCTACTCATTCAATCTCGGAAACTCCATGGGAATTACTGACACTGAGACCTATTGCATTTACAAAGCTCTTAAGCGTCTAAAAAAGGAGCTACCTAATGCAAGGTACCAAAATTTCAGTGATAGTCAAGCAAGCTTACAGAGGATTATGGGAAAGACTAACTACTACTCTCACCAAATTCGAAGTCTGGCAAAAGGCTGCAATCTAAGCATTACCTGGTGCCCGGCTCATGTTGGTAATGAGGGCAATGAACTTGATGAATCGCTTGCAAAAGGAGCAGCAAAAAAGACAGCTTCAAATATTGACAGATTCACATCTCACTCCTTTCTGAAAAGAAAGGCAAGAGAATACATTCTAAATGCTTGACATAATGACTGGCAAACAGAAGTTTTACGAGAAGAGGAGGGTAGGAAGTGTAGAGGACTTGGCAAGTTCTACAGGATCTAAGCCTAAATGCATACACCCAGCCTCTCTCTCCAACCATTTAATTTTCAAGATCATAGCAGAATGGTTGAATCATCATTTTTCCAGGCAAGAACAGGTATTGGAAATACCCGTACTTACCTAAACAGAATTGGAAAAGTGAAAGATAAAAGCTGCAATTTTTGCAACTCAAATAGGCAAACCACAAAACATTTACTACTTCATTGTACAAGATTCCAGACACAGAGGGACTTATGATTTGCTGATATCAAACCACTGTCATTACAAATTTTAATGGGGACAAAAAGGGGGAAGGAAACCCTTCTAGAATTTTTGAAGACATCCAAATGTATGTCAGCATACAAGGGAGACAAATAGGCACAACTATATTGGGCATGGGAGTGTATTGAGGCGAAATATGGGGTGTTGGTTTTTTGATTTTAAGAAAATACCAAAAATATAAATTAATTGTCATAGCTAGATAGCTGAATACAACATGATTTTAAATAAAAAAAAATAGAAAAACCCATAATAACCTCCTTGTGCCCACGCTTCGCAGCCGCTCATGCATCTAACGAGTAGCCTGAAGCACTACCATATTACCCATTCCAACCTCTTAAATACACACAAGATCGTGTCGGGAACCTATACGAAATGGAGGGTCCGTACGTCCACAACACTACGTGTCTCCATTTTCAGCAGTAATATCAGAGGCCAACTTGATCCAATCCACCATCTCCGTAACATGTGCTGGATACGCTCTGGAAACTCATTGCATGGCTTTTCCTCCATGATCAATGGTTGATGACGAGAAGGCCTCGGCCCTAACATCTGATCTGATCGTGATTAGCTTCATGATAGTGGTGATAGGGGAATGTGTTGAGAGATGAAGACGATACAGACCGCGAAAGCGACTGGGAATCCTCATCGAAGTGAGGACTTTGTTACTCAATCTCGGCTCTGAAAACTCTACAGTGAGTGCCGGAGATTCGGAGGGGACACTACTGATAGGTGTTGAGAAAAGTCCTCTTCGACTTACTCATACAATTGGATAAAGGTAGACTTTGTTGGAATTTAGAATATTTATCTATTTATAATATTTATAATATTTAACGTTGTGCCCACGCACAGCACGTGAGCTCCTCATGTACTGGTTAGCCCAGTCTATATAAAACTACCCGACGTGTTGGCGCCCACATAGACCCAATATTGCAAATGAAAACCAGCATCTTATTATCCTGCGCTCGAAGTTTGAATTTACTCGAATATCGGCCTCCCGTTGTCTCTCAAGATTTACAGATGATATCCACTGAAGAATACAAAGCAAAGAAATAAATTGATTACATCACTTTAAAGCTCTCTAGCTTTTATTACATGATCAGCTATAAAATGCATGAATTCCCTCCGATGAAGGAAGAGCCCAAGATATGGTGGGATTGAAGATCTGAGCCTAGAATTTAGAATAACTGGGGCTATCTATTGTAGTAACGAGGGTATGAGAGGTCTAAGAATTGTCGCAATTGGTGTAACAGTCAACTTGGGTGGATGTAGGATAGCACTTTGTGTCTAACGTGAAGAAAACAGATATATATTGTAGATCTGCTACATTGATGACTATTGAAAATAAGAGTGGAAAAGGTTAATCATGTACAGAGGTCTAGCAGCGAGTATTTATACACAAATACAATACATAAAATATACCATCAATAGCAATAACTGCCAACCATTCAGCCATTCAACAACTATGTCATTAGATATACCTGCGTCATATTATCATATAATCATGTATGGTTGAGATACTGGTGTTGTCATTGCTGTGTGCCGATGACGTATCATTGACGCAGGGTCGCTTGTCTTGTTGGTTCACTTGCCCAATACTAGCTATTCCAAGTTGTGTGATCTATAAGTGGGCCTGATCACAACACTATCAAGTATGCTACGTTGTTGATACAGATGTAACCACAAATTCTGTACTTAGTTCATCTTCGGTAGTTACTTGAATCAATGCGCTCTACAACCTCAATGACTGAAGGGTCATTATTTTCTTAACAGATTCTAAAATATTGAATACACTCTCACGCTAAATTGATAGACCTTGCCAATGTAATGCAGTAAGATGTAGCCTCTATTCTTCGGTTTTGCAATCTAAAACTACTGTCGGAAAGATCACATCTTCCTCATTTGCTCTGCCTATACTTCTTTTTCTAATTTCCTTCCACTCATAATAATATCTTCAGATCAAGAATGGTAATTTTGTTGTGTAAGTGCTTTCGTATTTTTTTTATGCCAACCGTTGGCCACTGAGACTATTCTTCAACAGGAGTGCAGATTTTGGTAATGCCAGATATCATAAAATACGCATTTAGGACTTCTCTTTTATTATTGAAATAAATTATAACAGTTGATTGACTAGCTACTGGTTTTAATTTTATCAGCTATGAATTATTTTTCAAAATGAGATTCACATACCTTTAGTTCCCGAAAATACAAAAGGAAATTCGACTTTTCTTAATTTTGCGCTATTTGTGAATAAAGTATCTCCGAGATTTTGACGGAAACGATCGTCATAGCTCCTGTTAACATGTCCCATAATAACGTCATGTGAAACATTTTCTCCTTCACAATCATAGCCAGTCAAAGCATGTGCTAGAAAAGACATGCTCAGGAATGCTATAACTGAAGCAAGTGTGATGCTCTTCATTTTTCAAGCACCCTTCTTTAATTATTTTAAATCTTGGCGACTATTTTGACTTACCAAATAGCTCGAGCTTTTCAATCTTGGAGATATTTGGGAAAAGATGAAGATGCTGATAATGGGAGTCTGATATTACTGTGAGAAATAAGAGGAGAAAGTGATGTTATCAAGTCATCTAGGTGGAGAGGGGATTTATTCAAACATTCGTTTCTTTATGTTATGGAAAAAATGGAATTACAGTGTGTGCCATAATTAAGTTCTCCATTATTATCATTTAATTTTTTATTAAGAGCTGTCCCACTTATAAATGATCCCACAAGTTTTTATGTAGAGCTAGGTCTCGGTTTTAATTATTTATTCCTATTTTTATTCAATAAAATTGGCTCCATATCAATCTGTTGGAGAAACAGATCATGTCCTAGTAGATAGAACGTGGAACCTCCAATATCGGATTACACGACTCGCTTAGTTACGAGCCGGGCACAGTGTGGATCCCAAGAATCCTGGTCGTCTAAGTAAGCCAGAGGCAAGATTAGGCCTACGCTAAGACAAATAAGACGGAGTCAAATGCCAGGGAACGAGAGCAACTATCAGTGCGTAGTAAAGAGGCAAATATTATTCAGGGATGACGCACAGTGCCTAAAAGGTGGCGAGGAGTTTAGGAGTGTACTTAAATCATAGCATAGATCTCGTTGAAGGGACACGCAATCTAGTCTCAAGCTCTACCACATTCAAGTTGTAGTCAGGAGCCACGAGACACCGCGTAACCATTGTACCATCCAACCCTTTGTAATAATCACACACCCAGTTTCCGATCAACATCTAGTGCACGCAAGAAACCTCAACAGTCTGGACAATAGACGCGTCAGTTGTTATTCACCGAGTAATGTAGGCGACGAGTCATAGAGACGATCTATCAAGTGAATGAGTAGTCATTCTTTGATGACACGAGTCATCGACAGAGTTTTTCTCAGTTATACGAGGGAATGAGATACGTATAAAATAGAGTAGATAACCGGAACACAGTATGTTGGATGGCGACTTCTATAAGACCCAACTTATATCACTTCTGTGGGACATCAGTTAAATCCTGATTCATCTACGCCTTACATTTGCTGTGCAGTGTCTCTTATCAAGTCATACGAGTGATCAGAGTACGTATATTTTAATATAATCCTTTAATTTTCATCACCGACAAAATAACAGGCAGAAAAAGTATTACCTACAGAAACACACCCTCAAATATCCACCGGAACCTTGGTAAGGCCCAAAGCAGTATTGTAGTTCAGGTAAGAAGTGAGCACATTGGTCTCAACTCTTATCTGTATCGAAGGAAAGTCCCCGGAGTGGCAAATTCAACATACCAGTGTGGATATCTGTCACAAGACGGCAAATATATGGTCTTGACTTATCCTTAGTGGCCTATGAGAATAGGAGAGATGCTGCGACAGGCAAATAATAGGACCTTTGAAGCTAGGACTAACAGCTCGGATGCTATAAAGAGAATGACAGAGTGGATACTTACTAGCGGCCGGTTTTGAAAAGTTCGGGTTTGCAGAAGAAGTGAATATAGCACTCAATGAAAAGATGAAGCGATGGGGAAGTGGATAGGACAGAATTTACACTGGATGAACAGTGGTAGCGCACTTTCTGAAGAGAAATCTTTAAATCAGATAGACAAAAGATAGATAGAAACAGGGGGTTTTCACCGAATTGGCTTTCTCTTTGGTAAAGATTATAGCTTTACCCACATGCATGGATTCATAGGGCACCCGAACTGGATAAGTGAAATCAAATACAAAATCCTTTAATTTAAAATTTCTAATGATTTGGTCGCCAAAATGACTCGCAATTTACCAATATCTTCAAATTTTACAGGCTTTGTAAGGGAACTTTGAAAATCTGAGACATAGAATCTGCGCTAAAAGCCATCGAGAACTTCTGGATGTAGCTAAACAGGTATTTATGGAGATCTAAATGTACCAAGGAGGCCACATGAGGGTAGAGAGTCTTGTAATTTCCACAATAATGATGCTTTTATTAATACCATCATGGCACATGACCATTATTATTATTTCATTTTATTGTCCTGTCTGAGTCTATGGCTATGTAGGACATGCAGGTCCTCTCTATCTACTGTCCAAGGATACCTATACCAGTGGTATATCGCTCCTATGCCTCCCATACAGCTCCCCTCAAACAGTACTACCCCTCACAAGTCCTCACTCAATCATACACTTAGAGGAGCCCTTTGCCCTTCATTATCTCCCCTCTCTTGCCAGGGAAACGATGGTGATTTGAGGTTATTTGGCAGCGGGGAAATTTTTCAAATACAACTTGGTGTCAGGCTCTTCTAGTACTGAAATTAGGACTAAAACCAAAGACAGAGTGACCCATCTAAAGCGCTAGAAGAGGCCGGCCAGCTTGGCGCTACATACTTGTCGGTACCTCGGGAAGTTCACCCTCTGCTGTAAGGGAGACGTCTCAGATAGGTAATATCACTGGATAGGAGTTATGATATACAGGTAGCTCGAATAAGTAAGTAGTCTCCAATAGGTAATTAGGATATAAGAACGTCGTATGCCCAATCCCACCAGCAGTAAAGCGACTAGTTATACTCTAGGTCAAAGTGAACTGGAGCTTTCTCCCAACTCATACAACAGCTCAACGTTACATGAGATAAATCCTGAACTAAACCTATCTGGTAACCAACCCATTACTTGGCCCACCAACACATATGCTGTACGCTAATACTAGTATTTGGCAGGGGATGATGTTGATCCAGATGTATTCCCTGACAGCTGCTTTTCTAGCCTCCTTCCAACTCCTTCCCGAAGGTCGTGCTGAAATGTCAGAAAAGTCTTGACAGAGCGTGATTGCTGTAAGTAGCTTGGCCCAACTTTTTTTGCGCCGTCCAGAGCGCTGGGGAATGCCGTTGACTCATCGACAATAGAAGTCCTCCAGGCTAATTTGCCGAAATCTCGATCTTGGCGCCCACAACTTTCCATAGTTGAAAATCCCACGACCAATCTAGTCCGGCATGGTCTTCAAAGACCTGTTCCCTCGCTATCTCCACATCTCAGCCGCCTGTTCTTCCTCCAAATATATAACCCCATTAGAGCATCAGTCCTCCATGAGTCATGACCCAAACTTTGTATTTATGACTTATTTTCCTCCTTGTGGGTATACGTAGCTTCGTAAATTGTAGTAGGAGATTTCTAGTAATTACAGGAGCAACTCCTTTATTGGTCGTTGAGGCGAGATGATGTGTGGTTTAACGACTTTAAACTTGATCATCGACTTTGTATATTGGTCTGTAATCACAGACACGGAAATAGATTCATGAGATTGCTTATTGAGAGGCTAGAATTGATTCCAATTTTTGGTAAGACTTGTACCAACAATCAGAGGGCTACAACGTCTTTATCTATCTACAGGTAAATTCTCCACATTTCAACCACGCTAGCCATACAGGAACTAGCATATAAGACTTGATTTGTATCATCATTATGGGGTTTGTGATGGGAAACGCAATTAATATTGCGGTCACGTGGAAGAGTTTACGCGCGTACGTGACTATATTTAATATCCCTTGTCCTTTCCTAGATACCTTTCTTCTGTGTAGACAATATTATTCACCAGATTAGACCTCGTCAATCTTTCTCTTGACCATCCCTTGACAAGAGGCCACAAATGACCCTACAAAATTGTGGAAACTAACCAGGTGGGCTAAGAAAACTCCGGAAGCATGATGTAGACTCCCCCAGATACCCGACATCAAAGATGGAAAAGAAAATATCCATAAAAATGATGCAGATAAAGCAAGAATAATGGTGCAACATTTCTTTCCAGAGCCAGTCCACGCAGACGTTCGAGACATTGATGGCACAATATATCCAGAAGAACTAAACACCATAACTCTTTCGGTCACGGAAGTCGAAGTAGAGGAAGCCTTGGCAAAGCTAGTGAGCGAGAAAGCCCCTGGCCCAGACAGAATTCCAAACTGGCTGTTAGAAAATTGCAGGAAAACTCTATCAGGGGTTCTCACGGACTTATCCAATGTCTGCCTCTCCATGGGATATCACCTATTGTGTCACAGTCTAAGCATAGGCACTTGAGCAACCTTAAGGTCAGAGGTAGTTTATTTTCAATCTATGGTGAACTACAGATTGAAGAGGATAATAACAGTTACTTTACACATGATTATTATCTAGGCCAATGAGACAGTTTTCTCTCCGTATATCCATATCCCATCTCGTATCCGATCTCGTATCCCATCTCGTGCCCTATTCTTAGAGGTGTTTGCCAAGTTGTAAGACCCTGCTTTCAAGAATAGTCCCTGCCTAGTTTCATGCTAAGCCTGCGTTTGACAGCGCAGGCTACAGGCAATTACCGGCTTATAAGCCGTCACAAGCTCTCCTCCAAAATTTTTTAGGAAAAAGATTGGGAGGTTCTTGTAATTTTTTATTATTTATCTTTTAACTTATTATTTTTATTTTTGCCATGGCGTTTTTGACGCCGTTTATCCAATATATGACCCTCTGCAGGGCCTACGAATCCTCCAGAGCTATAGTTTTCAGGACCATTATTTATCTCTATATTACCGTAAGTAGCCTCGAACCTGTCGAGTGCTTGCGTTTCCCTAATGCTTTTAATCGGCCCCCAAGTTGGCTCGGCCTAGCCTGTCCACTTTACCAAAGTCTGACGAAAGTTTCCTCTACTGCGACGGATAGATCGCGCTCGTAGGATAGATTCCACTTCATATTCTGGACCTTCGAGGTCATCGATCAATGGTGGGTTTTGGGCGTTGTAAGGATTCTTGAGAAATCACTCAGGCAGGATTTATGGGTTCCTTATTTAATCCCACTAGTCTTTATTGCTTAGCGAGGGCACCTATGTAGTTTCCATTTCCGAGACTGATATCTTCACGCTTTGTTTTCTGTCTTTAGGAATAGTTACATTATTCTAATCACATCTCACTCTCGTCCTCTGCCAAACATAGTGAC